AGACGATCTCACTCTGCCGCCCAAGCTGGAGTGCAGCGGCAATTACCTCTTACTGCAGCATCAAATTCCTGGACTCAAGTGATTCCCCCTGCCTCGGCCTTCCAAAGTGCTGGGATTACAAGCGTGGAGAATTCAGTTTTTTTTTTTTTTTTTTTTTTTTTTTTTTTTTTTTTGAGACGGAGTTTCGCTCTTGTTACCCAGGCTGGAGTGAATGGCGCGATCTCGGCTCACCGCAACCTCCGCCTCCTGGGTTCAGGCAATTCCCCTGACTCAGCCTCCTGAGTAGCTGGAATTACAGGCACGTGCCACCATGCCCAGCTATTTTTTTTTTGTATTTTTAGTAGAGACGGGGATTCACCATGTTGACCAGGATGGTCTCGATCTCTTGACCTGGTGATCCACCCGCCTCGGCCTCCCAAAGTGCTGGGATTACAGGCTTGAGCCACCGCGCCCGGCCGAGACTTCAGTTTTAAGTGAGAACGTTTTTGCAGTACTTACTTTGTATTAAGAAATAAAAACAATATAGAGTGGGGAAAAATCCACTGGTTTTGAAACGATTTTTAGTCCCACTTCTGTCTTTAGAAAGTCACTTAAACTGTGTTTTGGCCTCCTCATCTGGAAGATAAAAATGGTAATAGAATTGACTTAGTAGGGTTGCTGTATGAGTTAGTGTATAAATGTTTACAATTACACATGGCCCACAATAGACGCCACGTTTTCCATCAGGGAAGTCCTCACCTAACGCGTAAAACAGGAAGGCGTGCCCATCTAGATCCGGGCCCCGGGTTCTCAGGCATTGTAATTGGTCCCAGCATATGACGCAAGGCGGGATTCATGGACGAAAGTCCTGTCAATTAGCGAAGGGCGGAAATCAGGTGGAGAAGATGGTCCTTTAGTGCCACACTTCAGCGACTCGCATCTCTCGGTTCGGGCTTAGCTATTGTGCATGCGTGTGGCCTTGTGGTCCCGGCGTGCCCCGCGATGGCTTCCGGCGTGACGTAGTAGAAAAGATGGCGTGGCTGGCTAGTCGCTCTTAACATTTTCTGGTGAGGCGGGGCTCAAGGGTTGCGTCTCCGCTGTCTGTCCTACGGCTCTGATTGCACCCTGGGTTCTTTGACGCAAAAACTCGCAGTGATTTCGTGATACAGAGTGAACTGGGTCCTCAGGGGATGCCTGGGATCGAGACAGCCCGGAGTGCCGGCTTTGTTGCCCTTCGGAGCTTCCTGTATGTTCAGGTTCCCCAGTGAGGCCTCCTTTGAAGGGCTTGGTGCCTCTTTCCCTTTATGCTAAGGAAACACTCGTTTCCTAAAGCCCCATTGCGTCCTTGTACTGAGCGGTGGGGACACGAAGACAGCACAGACACGCTGTTTACCCTTAGCGAGCCCCCAAACTGGTGAAGTGTATAAACCCACCTGAAACAAATTCTAATGTTAGCGGCTTAAGATGGAGCACGCTGAGAGACGTTAGACAGGACCATAGAGTTCAGAGGATCAGGACGCTTCAAGAAGATGGGGTTATTGGTGTCATCAGTCATTATCCAAGACATCAGTCTTGTCTTTGGTGGTGCACTCCTTGAGAACATGAACATTTTCTTCTACATTTCCGATACTTAGGCTCAGGTGCCCTTACCTGGTTGGTAGAGATGGAGACCAGCTGTTCCTCGTGTTCATTTTCTATGGAAAAGATGAATTAGGTCTTGGGGACTTAAGGAGGGAAAATTTTGGTAAATAAAGGCACTAATATATTCCTAGGCTGGGGTTCTCAACCAATGCCTGACCCAGAGCACAATTGACAATTTTGTTGTCACAACTGAGGGGTACCACTGACATCTAGTGGGTGGAGGCCAGGGATGCAGCTAAACATTCTGCAAGGTACACAAGGTTCCCGCCCCACTCCCCAACCCCAAGAACTCAAAAAAAGGTATGGCTCAAAATGTCATGGTGCTAAGGTTCTGAAACTCTGCCCTAGAATGACAGCAGAAATGGAGAGGGAGCAGATGTTGGAGACATCTCAGCCAAAGACCGGTTTTTTCTCATTTTGTGTTCTTTATAATGCTTAAGTGATGCTCAGTTAGTTAGGTCTGATGAGTCCAGTCTTCCTCTTATTTTTTCACCCATTCATTCATGCCTGGCAAATAAATATATTTAGCACCAAACACGATTCAAGGTGCTAGGATTCAGCGTTGAGCTGAAAAAGCTTACATTCTGGCAGGGGGTGACAGACATTAAACTTATATGTCAAGTAGTAATATATGGTATGAAGTTCCTGCAAGATGGAGTTTCTCTTACTACCACCGCATACTTTTTATTCACATCCTTCTGAGTGCCAAGCACTGGACCAGATACTTTACTCTTATCATGTATACTCTTATCCTGTATCCTGCAAGGCAGGTATTATTTATTTTTTATTTTTTGAGAGAGAGTCTTGCTCTGTCGCCCAGGCTAAACTACAGTGGTGCGATTTTGGCTCACTGCAACCTCCACCTCTGGGGTTCAAGCGATTCTCCTGCCTCATTCTCCTGAGTAGTTGGCATTACAGGTACCCGCCACCACGCCGAGCTAATCTTTTTTTTTTTTTTTTTTTTTTGTATTTTTAGTAGAGATGGGAGTTTCACCATGTTAGCCAGGCTGGTCTTGAACTCCTGACCTCAAGTGATCTGCCATCCTTGGCCTTCGAGAATACTGGGGTTACAGGCATGAACCACCACACCCAACTCTGCAAGGTGGGTGTTACGATCCTCAGATGATAAAAAGAGGATCACAGGAGTTGAGTAATTTTCCACAAATCACTTAGTATGGAGTTGAGCTTGGACTCAAACTAGATTCACCTGAAGGAAAAAAATCTGTATTATTTCCACTAGTTAACATTATGTCTCATATGTTGAATTGAATGGGATGAGAAATAAATACCTTCTTTCCTAGAGTTAAGAAAGTGAAGTAGAAATGAACTCACACTGACCTCTTTCGGTTTCCAGAGTAGAGTTTTTGTTTGTTTGTTTGTTTGTTTTTTTGAGACGGAGTTTCGCTCTTGCTTCCCACGCTGGAGTGCAATGGCGCGATCTCGGTTAACCGCAACCTCCGCCTCCTGGGTTCAGGCAATTCTCCTGCCTCAGCCTCCTGAGTAGCTGGGATTACAGGCACGCACCACCATGCCCAGCTAATTTTTGTATTTTTAGTAGAGATGGGGTTTCACTATGTTGACCAGGACGGTCTGGATCTCTTGACCTCGTGATGCATCCGCCTTGGCCTCCCAAAGTGCTGGGATTACAGGCTTGAGCCACCGTGCCCGGCCTCCAGAGTAGAGTTTTTATCAGACCTAGTAGGAGTTGTAGGAACTGAATTTTGAGCCACAGATCAGCCTCAGATGTAGTTGAATTTCTTACTACTCCTCTCAAGTGGCTTACGGCAAAATCTAATGTCTCAGAGAAGTTGGAAACTTTAAGATGGCTCACCAGCCCTTCAGATCCTAATTATCAATGAGTGTCTGGGCCTCACAAGGCCTTCAGTCGGCTCTGGAAGCTCTGCTCTGGGAGCTCTGCTCTGGAAGCTGCACTGAAGGAGAAGATCCTGAAACTGAAACAATTCCTTACTATTCTTCACAGGAAGAGTCAAGCCTGAGTGAGGGAGCATGATCCAGAAAGGAGTGAGAAGGAAATGACTTTGGGGCTGGATTTGGAGTTAGAACCTGGGAGACCAAGGCAATGGGTGAGAAGGGGAGTATGTAAATAGAAATGGAGATCAGGTTGTAGAGGGCCTGGGTGAGCGGACAGACAGCATAGCAAGGTGGAGAAACTTGATTTTGCTCCTGCTGCTTAAGGACTTAAATTTGTTTCCCTGACTGGTGCCCATTCCAGCTTCCCTCAGATCAGAATTTCTTCTTTGCAGGAGGGAGGGTGGATGGAGAGCAAAGTTGAATGCCATCGCCAGTCACCAAACATTCAGTAGACCCTTGCTTCCCCAGTATTAAGGATGGCAGATTTGTCTCCTATAAAATACATCCTTTCTCCTCTGCAGGTTATGTTCACCTGGTCCTGCTCTGAATGAGAATCTCCTGGTTCTTGGCTGGGCCTAGTACCTCACACCTGTAATCCCAGCAGTTTGGGAGACTGAGGCAGGCAAATCACCTGAAGTCGGGAGTTCGACACCAGCATGACCAACATGGAGGAAACCCCATCTCTACTTAAAACACAAAATTGAGCCGGGCACGGTGGCTCAAGCCTGTAATCCCAGCACTTTGGGAGGCCGAGGCGGGTGGATCACGAGGTCGAGAGATCGAGACCATCCTGGTCAACGTGGTGAAACCCCGTCTCTACTAAAAATACAAAAAATTAGCTGGGCATGGTGGCGCGTGCCTGTAGTCCCAGCTACTCAGGAGGCTGAGGCAGGAGAATTGCTTGAACCCAGGAGGCGGAGGTTGCGGTGAGCTGAGACCGCGCAATTGCACGCCAGCCTGGGTAACAAGAGCAACACTCTGTCTCAAAAAAAAAAAAAAAAACAAAAAACACAAAATTGAGGGCCGGGCGCGGTGGCTCAAGCCTGTAATCCCAGCACTTTGGGAGGCCGAGGCGGGTGGATCACGAGGTCAAGAGATCGAGACCATCCTGGTCAACATGGTGAAACCCCGTCTCTACTAAAAATACAAAAAATTAGCTGGGCATGGTGGCGTGTGCCTGTAATCCCAGCTACTCAGGAGGCTGAGGCAGGAGAATTGCCTGAACCCAGGAGGCGGAGGTTGCGGTGAGCCGAGATCGCGCCATTGCACTCCAGCCTGGGTAACAAGAGCGAAACTCCGTCTCAAAAAAAAAAAAAAAAAAACCACACAAAATTAGCCAGGCGTCACTGCAGGCTCTTGTAATCCCAGCTGCTCAGGAGGCTGAGGCAGAAGAATCACTTGAATCCTGGAGGTGGAGGTTGCAGTTAGCTGATATTGCGCCATTGCACTCCAGCCTGGGCAACAAGAGCAAAACTCAGTCTCCAAAAAAAAAAAAAAAAAAATCGAGAGAGAGAACCTCTTTGTTCTTGAAAGGCCTGCTCTGTGATGGAGGAATTGCAATGCCCAGCAAGGTATGGGAGTTTCAGTTAAGTCCTCAGTGTCTGAGTCGCACCTCTCCCCAAAACAGATTAATGCAATTGGCTTTCTGCTCAAGACAGGGCCAAAGTGGGACCAGCTGGGGACTGGGAACTATGCTGCACAGTGTGGCAGAGCTGTGGATCTGGAGTGGGGGTGGCCACAGACCATCCTGCACTGCTCTGAGCCAACAGGACCCTACTATGGTCTGTGTTCCTGGCAGCTGTGGTGCTGGGACCTTGACTACTTTTTTTTTTTACCCCCCCTTTCCAACTCTTAGTTTTGGGGGTAAATGTGCAGGTTTGTTAAATTGCATATAAAAGGGGTTTGGTGTACAGATTATTTAGTTTTCAGTCCTTACCCTCCTCCCACTCTCTACCCTCTAGTAAGCCCCAGTGTCTGTTGTTCCCCTCTTTGTATCCATGTGTGTTTGTAAGCTCTGGATTACAAGTGAGAACACATGGTATTTGGGTTTCTGTTCCTGTGTTAATTTGCTTAAAATAATGGCCTCCAGCTCCATGTTGCTGCAAAGGGCATAATTTAATTCTTTTTTATGGCTGTGTACTATCCTATGGTGTACATGTACCACATTTTCTTTACTTCACCATTGATGGGCATCTAGATTGATTCCATGTCTTTGCTGTTGTGAATAGCACTGCGATGAACATATGTGTACATGTGTCTTTTTGGTATAATGATTATTCCTTTGGCTACATGCCCAATAATGGGATTGGTGGGTTGAATGGTAGCTCTAAGTTCTTTGAGAAATCTCCAAACTGATTTCCACAGTGGCTGAACTACTTTACATTCCCAGCAGCAGTGTATAAGCATTCCCTTTTTTCTGCAACCCTGCCAGCATCTGTTATTTTCTGACATTTAGTAATAGCCATTCTGACTGGTGTGAGATGGTATCTTTTTTTTTTTTTTTTTTTTTTTTTTTGAGACGGAGTTTCGCTCTTGTTACCCAGGCTGGAGTGCAATGGCGCGATCTCGGCTCACCGCAACCTCCGCCTCCTGGGCTCAGGCAATTCTCCTGCCTCAGCCTCCTAAGTAGCTGGGATTACAGGCATGCACCACCATGCCCAGCTAACTTTTTGTATTTTTAGTAGAGACGGGGTTTCACCTTGTTGACCAGGATGGTCTCGATCTCTCGACCTCGTGATCCACCCGCCTCGGCCTCCCAAAGTGCTGGGATTACAGGCTTGAGCCACCGCGCCCGGCCGAGATGGTATCTTATTGGGGTTTTGATTTACATTTCTCTAATGATTACTGATGAGCATTTTTTCATGTGTTCTTGGCCATGTGTATGCCTGACTGCTCTAATTCTGTTCTGCTCAGCTGTTCAATGACTTGAACACTGCCATACTCCACGTTCAAGTGTTTAGCTCTGGCTTTCAGGAATCTCTGTTCCCACACCTCTGCTCCCTGAGCCCATACAGGGATTTCTGAAGGGGTGAGGTAAGGTTTCAGTGATAGGGGTTTTTTCTCTGGGATTATATGGGGAGTTGCCAAGCTCCTATTAGAACCAGTGAAGCTCCCTTCCTCAGGGATTTTCCCAAAAGAAGAGGCAGAGCTCATACTCAGAACCATTTGGACCATAAGGCCTTATAGAGGAACTCAGTGACTCCAAGAAATGGAGAGACACAGAGTCTCAGGCTGGAAAGGGAAGAATCCAGGGATGAGAGCTCATCAGTGTCTGTGACATCATAGACATGACTTTACAGTTCTGTCATGACCAGAATTGGGAGAAAGAAACAGGTGAAATGATGGTACAGCTGCCAGACTGAGACATCTCAGTTCCTTATTAAGCTTTGTCATTTCCTCCAATTCTCCCTTCAGAATGGCCCATTCCGTGATAGCCCTTAGAAGGGTTATATCTTGGTGTTTTGCCCAGAACTCTTTGGGTTTCTCCATTAATTTAGCTACTGTGCCCAGAGGCTCCAAAAGAACACCAGCAGGGCATTGAGCTGCATGAGTTCCTCTGGGGTGATCTCGCCCTCAGGGCTGGGTGAGACCACCACAGCCACACTGAAAGTTTCAGAGTTTTCATTACTTACAGATCCTCAAGGTAGGCAGGGTGACCAAAGAGAGGCAGACCGCAGTCTTCAGTCCCAGGTCTTGTGTAGTGACAGCAACAGCACAGTTGTGGGAGGGGACTCCCTCTGTTTAAGGGTTATTTGGGGGTAGGATGTCCTAATTTCATGGGGTTACTTTCCATTGAGTCTTTCAACCACTTCCAGCAGCAAAGGAAGTTGAGCAGTTTGACATGAGGCTGGAGTTAAAACAGGGCTCTTGGAGGGACTTCTTGTCTATCTTGGTCAGCCCTGGCCAGGCAACAATCAACTGTGGTTTCTCCATTACTCCTCAGATACTTGGGACATTCATGGTGACCTATTGGCACCCAAGGAAGAGAACCTGATTTTAATTTAGACTAATAATCAAGTTTTCTGAACAGGTTTATAGGGGCTAGTTCAGCCTGGACAGCATGAGCCTAAATCAAAAGATACTATTAATACCAGCAGGCTGGAAGATCCCATGTGGACGTGTCAGGTTGCTTGGCCATTGAGAAGGAATGACAGTAGAGCTGAAACGGTCCAGAGCCCAGGAATCCAACAAAGGCTAAGAATCAAGGTGAGAGGGCAAAGGGAAGATGTGAACAAATGAGTGAAGTCCCACTGTGTGCTTGACCAGCCCCAGAGAGCTCTCTGCTTGGGGATATGAATTCTACTTCTGATATGTCCTTTTATGTCCCCATCTCCTGTCCCTTGGTCTAAAGTCTTGACTTGTTAAAAAAAAAAATCCAACTGGGGATTTCAACAGACACTACCTCGATGGTAAGTGGGGGAATTGGGTAACAAGTGAGATCTCTGATGGGTCATTTTTCTTTCTTCTTTTTTTTTTTTTTTTTTCCCTTTTGAGACAGCGTCTCACTCTGTCCCCACGCTGGAGTGCAGTGGTGCAATTTCAGCTCACTACAAACTCTGCCTCCTGGGTTCAAGTGATTCTCCTCCCTCAGCCTCCTGAGTCGCTGGAATCACAGGCATGCACCACCATGCCTGGCTAATTATTGTATTTTTAGTAGAGATGGGGTTTCACCATGTTGGCCAGGCTGGTCTCGAACTCCTGACCTCAGGTGATCTGCCTGCCTCAGCCTCCCAAAGTGCTGGGATTACAGGCTTGAAACACCACACCCAGCCTTCTCTTTCTTTTTAAACGGGTCACTTTTTGCCTTTTCTACTTTTAGACTGTAAGAATTTCTCTTCATTTTATTTGTTTTTAGAAATGGGGTTTCACTGTGTTGGCCAGGCTGGTCTTGAACTCGTGACCTCAGGTGATCCTCCCGCCTAGGCCTCCCAAAGTGCTGGGATTACAGGCGTGAGCCACCACACCCGGCCCTAGACTGTAAGGATTTCTAAGTGAAAGTGAAATGAAAGTAATGAAAGGTTTTGGAATTGATTTGACCTATGTCCAAAATCCAGCTTCTCTCCCTTGGAGCAGTGACCAGGTCTTCCAGATCTCTCTGTGCCTGGCGCATTATAAACATACCTGGGCAAAATAAATATCAGTTTCATCATACTATATTTAATGAACAAATGAATTCACTGACCGACTAAAGAATATGGTGTTGGAAGAATTGCAGATGTAGCTCTCAGTGATGCTTGTTTAAAGTTGTTTGGCGCTAATTTATCCTTCGTGGTAAAACTTAAGACGTATCCAGTAATAGCTGGCATACGTGAAGCATGTTTGTGTGGTAGGTTATATGTAAATGGTTTGCACACATGAAAGCAGTTAATCCTTTAAACCCCTCTGAGAGGTAGATATTATTATCACTGACTGTAAAATGAAGAGGCTGGGCTCAGAAAGGTTAAGTCAGTCATCCAAGGACACACAGCAACAGGTGATCACAGAATTAGAAATTAAACCTGGTTTGTCTCACTGCAAAGCCTCACTATGGCACCATGCTAACACTTATTGGTCGCATCTGCAGACCTGGAGGTTGATTGTCCGATACTGACAATCTGATACTGACCTTAGGCCCCAGTATCCCTTCTCTCTAAGAAAGGGGTTGATGGCTCTCAAACAGGCATAACCACACAGAAGCACTTGGAAAACTGCCTTAGATTGACAAATCAGAACCTCTAGTGGTAGCATCTAGGAATCCTCGTTTAAAAAGAGAAATTACAGATGAGTGGAAAATGTCCAGCTCTTTTTACTTAGTCACTAGGCAAGTCACCTAACCTAGTAGAGCAGGTATGAACTGGGGCTACCAGGAAACCAAGACATTACTTACAAATCTCCATGAATCCTAAATCGATAAAAAACTCCAAACTTGCCCCTGAAATTCCCAGCTGTAAGGGTAGTGGTTGAGCAGTTGGAGGAGCGCAGCTTCCTCCAGCCTCTAGCACAGGTCAATACGAAGTTCACAGCTTTCAGGCTGACTACCATGGGCAATGGTGGGGCCACTCGCCAGAATTGCATGTTCTCTCTAAGTGAAGAACACTCAGTCCTCTTGGTCTTTACCTAGAAACGAAGTTACAGTTGAGTCTATTTCCAGGACTGCGAGGAGCTGAGGATTCCGCCTGTGATGAAGTAAGCTATGAAATGGGCATGCATGTGCCAGGATCCCAGAAGTTCTGAGCTGTTCCTAACTGCACTCACAAGAGGCAGCAGAGACATAGCAAGAGGAAAGGAGAGTGAGGTAAGGAAGCTGGAGGCGCCCAGCTCTTGTTTGGCTCTGACCATTCAACAGCCACCATCAGCTGAGGAGCCATGGTAAAACTGTGGACCAGTGACAGCCTGTAGGCTCTACCCAACTTCTCTGGGTTGTAGTGAGACTATTGATCCAGTGTACAGGGAGTGGTTAGGAATCTTTGGAGAAAAGGAATAGTGTCAATTGAAAACTTATATCAACTAGTTAAAATGTTTCAGTGAGTGGCCGGGCGCGGTGGCTCAAGCCTGTAATCCCAGCACTTTGGGAGGCCGAGGCGGGTGGATCACGAGGTCGAGAGATCGAGACCATCCTGGTCAACATGGTGAAACCCCGTCTCTACTAAAAATACAAAAAATTAGCTGGGCATGGTGGCGCGTGCCTGTAGTCCCAGCTACTCAGGAGGCTGAGGCAGGAGAATTGCCTGAACCCAGGAGGCAGAGGTTGCGGTCAGCCGAGATCGAGCCATTGCACTCCAGCCTGGGTAACAAGAGCAAAACTCCGTCTCAAAAAAAAAAAAAAAAAAAAATGTTTCAGTGAGGGAAGGAGGTCTGGAAACTGTGGAAAGACCAGTGTGTAATTTACCAGGGAATAACCTGCTTTTTTAATGGGCGTCTAAAGGGCTGCACCAAACCTGGAGGGTAATATTAGACATAAAAGGAAATCTGTAGACTTGGGGGTGTTGCCTTTTGTGCAGCCTACTTCAAATATATTCTCAAGTGGTTAGTATGCTATTGGGCTTGTTAAGCAATGGAAGGTCAAATGATGAGGGCCTGTGATCAATGGACTGAGAGAAACAGCCTGAGCTGTCATTCTGAGTGTACCCTCCCAGTGGTAGGTATGCACTAGGATGCTGAAGAAACAAAAGACCTTCCTCACTATCCTTAAAAAACAGCAGTTTGGCTGGGCGCGGTGGCTCAAGCCTGTAATCCCAGCACTTTGGGAGGCCGAGGCGGGTGGATCACGAGGTCGAGAGATCGAGACCATCCTGGTCAACATGGTGAAACCCCATCTCTACTAAAAACACAAAAAAGTAGCTGGGCATGGTGGCGCTTGCCTGTAATCCCAGCTAGTCAGGAGGCTGAGGCAGGAGAATTGCTTGAACCCAGGAGGCGGAGGTTGCGGTGAGCCGAGATCGCGCCATTGCACTCCAGCCTGGGTAAGAAGAGCGAAACTCCGTCTCAAAGAAAAAAAAAAAACAAAAAACAGCAGTTTCATGAAAATGCCTAACCTATTACTGATAATACAAGGTGCTCAAAATAATAGCTGTGCAGGCTGAAGAGCTGAGTTATTTGCAGATCCAGAGCCGTGTCACAGCAAGGTCAAGTGTCTCCAGACAAACGTCACAAGGAGAGCCACAGCCATATGCCAAAGCCCTGTGCCCTCCATGAGGAAATGGACCAGATGACATTGAGGAGCCAGCCTGCCTGGATTCCTAGTTCCCAAGACCCAGCCCAAAAGCTAAGTAGTAGTAACCATTCTCTCCTAGAACAGTTGCATAAAAGACTTGGTAAGAAGAGAGCCCTCTGCACCTTGGGAAATCCAGATTATAATTCTGTCTTTACTGTAGATTGAGCCATAAGACTGCTGTGTGCCTATCCTTCTTCCCTTTAAAATGTGTTTCTGTTTGTATAAGGGGGATGATAATCTGCTCTCTCTCTCTCAAAGATACCACTGAGAGGGCTTGCTTTCCATCTGGGGTTGTATCTCTTCCTTCTTTCTGTGAATTACTTTTCCCTCCCTGACCTTCATTTATTTGAGCTTCACCCATTGTCCCAGATAATGATAGGAAAGCTCTAGAGTAGACATAGACAGGAACTCTCTCCCTCACCTCCATAACCTATCACCATCACATTATGTTGACTATGCCCCCAAAATGTACAAAACCCATCCATATTTTTCTGTATCCACTGTCATCACTAGCCTAGACAACTGAGTTTCTAGACATCAGAGCTAAGAAAGTCTTAACTGGTCTCCTTGCTTGTACTTTTAGCTCTTCTGACCTGTTCTCTATACCGCAGCCAGAATAAGAGAATTGTGTCATTCCCTGCCTAATTACTCAGTGGCTTTCCATTATACTTGACATAAAATCCAAACTCTTAGCATCCCATGTGATAATAAAGTCCAGTCAGGAAACCAGAAGCCATTCTTGGTATTTCAAATAGGGGACTTAATAAAAAGAATTTGTAAAGAAGGTGTAGTAGAACTGGAAAAAAAAAGGGCGGGGGCGAAAACTAAGTGACAGGGATAGTAACTGTAGGAAACATATGGAGTCAGGGGAGCATTTTTTTTTTTCAACTCACCTCATTCTTCTTTTTATTATAATTATTATTTTTTTTTATTTTTTATTTTTTTTTATTGCATTTTAGGTTTGGGGGTACATGTGATGAACATGCAAGATTGTTGCATAGGTACACACATAGCAGTGTGGTTTGCTGCCTTCCATCCCCTCACCTGTATCTGTCATTTCTCCCCATGCTATCTCTTCCCACCTCCCCACCCCACCGCCCCTTCCCCATTTCCCCCCAACGGACCCCAGTGTGTAGTGCTCCCCTCCCTGTGTCCATGTGTTCTCATTGTTCAACACCCGCCTATGAGTGAGAATATACGGTGTTTGATTTTCTGCTCTTGTGTCAGTTTGCTGAGAATGATGGTTTCCAGGTTCATCCATGTCCCTACAAAGGACATGAACTCATCGTTTTTGATGGCTGTGTAATATTCCATGGTGTATATGTACTACATTTTCCCTATCCAGTCTATCATCGTTGGGCATTTGGGTTTACCAGGGCTTGGAAGCTTGGAAGAGAGGCCCTGCAGAACTGGGACTTGGATTTGGCGAAGGTGCTGGGGGATGGGAGCTGAGCAGTGTTGCTGGTGCTGATACCTCTCAGGGGTCCAATTAGGCTGCTTCTGGAAGAAGCTTTGTTCATTGCCTTTTTTTTTTTTTTTCTTGTCACCCAGGCTGGAGTGAGTGGCGTGACCTGAGCTAACTGTAACCTCCACCTCCTGGGTTCAAGTGATTCTTCTGCCTCAGCCTCCTGAATAGCTGGGATTACAGGCACACACCACCATGCCCAGCTAATTTTTTGTATCTTTAGTAGAGATGGGGTTTCACTATGCTGGCCAGGCTGGTCTTGAACTCCTGACCTCGTGATCTGCCCACCTTGACTTCCCAAAGTGCTGGGATTACAGGAGTGAGCCACTATGCCTGGCCTGTTTGCTGCTTTTTCTTTTTTTTTTTCAAGATGGTTGAATCTTGCATGCTGGAGTACAATAGTGATCTTGGCCTACTGTAACCTCTGCCTTCGGGGCCCAAGCCATCCTCCCACCTCAGCCTCTTAAATAGCTACAGGCATGCACCACCATGCCAGGCTAATTTTTAATATTTTTTTGTAGAGATGGGGCTTTGCCATGTTGCCCAGGCTGGTCTCAAACTCCTGAGCTCAAACGATCCACCCGCCTCAGCCTCCCAAAGTGCTGGGATGACAGGTATGAGCCACTGCTCCCGGCGCTCTTCACTGCTTTATATTTGACTCCAATACCTGGTATATTATAGGCAATCAAATATTTCCAGAATAAATGAATGTGTTCTCCAACGCTTACCTGTCTCCTTCAGGTCATATGGAGTGGCTGACAGGCAAGGATTGGAGACTCTAAAGGTACTTGTTTTCCTTTTTCTGCCCAGCAGACGAGAGGACAAAGCAGCCTGGAGGGTGGAGGCAACCTAAACATGAAAGGAGTTGAACACTTGCATCCCTATTTCCCTGGCCACAGTAGGCCGAGGAGTGGCAGGAGCCTATTAGTGAGACAACACAAAGTGTCTCTATTTCCTTATCTTTTCTGTTGACTTTCACTGGCTCTCCTCATTTATCCAACCACCTTCTCTGAGGTTATGTCCAAAGTCCATTAGTAACGAGTCCACTCCTGGGCTGTCTCCCCTTCCCCACCTATGTCCCAAATAGGTCACATTCCAGCCCACCTCTTTGTCGTGGTCTTTTGAAGATGTTTTCTTCTGAGTCGAGCAGAGGCTATGAAGTATGTGACTCTAGGAGCTGTCCTGCAGAGCTTCTCCTTAGGGCCATGCTCAAGGATAGTGTATGCAGGGAAAAGCAGTGGCCTAGGCAGAGCTCAGTGAAGAAACGCAAGTATATTCTCCTCTTCTGCCTTTGCTTTTCCTTCTTCACCTTAAATTCTCATTTTTTCTGGCTTTGAAAGTAGTACATTCTCCTTTGCTTATATTTAACTTTTCCCACTTAGAAAAAAGTGAAACTTGTTGCCAGCACTCATTTAATTTCATGTAAACATGCTCTTTGAGGCTGAAGCAAATGTGACTGATTTTCATTGTGAAAATAAAATTAAAAAATTGTTCTTGGAGTTATTTCTAAGCAGAACTGACAACAGAATCACGTGAATCAGCAGAATTGTCTAGTTCAGAAAAATCAGATTCATCAAATAGATCTTTGGCCAACAACTGTTAGAGAATGATGTTAACATCACATGTGAGATTGCTACATTTTCTAGGATTTGACATTTTTAGCGATTGAGAATTAGTATATTTTGTAAAAGGAAATACCACTGCTAAATGCTATAAATAGAATGATGTCTTTTGTTTCCAAAGTTGATATGCTAGAGCCATGTTAAAGTAATAATAAAAGCAAGATGGCTGGGAGCAGTGGCTCACACCTGTAATCCCAGCACTTTGGGAGGCTGAGGCAGGTGGGTCACTGGAGGCCAGTTCAAGACCAGCTTGGTCAACATGGTGAAGCCAAGTTAGTCAGGCATGGTGGTGCAGGCCTGTAGTCTGGGAGGCTGAGGCACAAGAGTTGCTTGGGCCTGGGATCACACCATTGCACTCAGGTCTGGGCAAGAGTGAGAGACCATCTCAAAAAAAAATTAAAAGCAAGTTATTTTGTGGCAAAGTTATCTCAGGGTAAACACTACTACAACTATAAGTGCTGCTGGCAAGTATTCTTGGGGCAAATGGTCAACTCTTCAAAAAGGCACAAGAAGAGACCATGATGCCTGTTTTTCACCATACCTTAGACAATATCCTATTACCTTGTGTGCACCAGCCAAAAACCATAGACAATGTACCTATCTTCTATATACTTTTATATCTTCAATGTACTTTTTATTCATGGCAATTTCATAAAAGTTTAAGTATCTGTGACTCATCATGGATGAATTTTAAGTTTGGTTCACAGTGCTTCTCATACCCATCCTTCCTTTCACGTACCATTCTCATCTACTAACTCTTCAGAAGTCAGCCTCCAGATGTACCTGTTTTTCCCTTGAATCTATGATCTTCCTTCTCATGACGGCACAAACTTTTCCCAACCTGATTCATTTCCTGTTTTCCCCATTTCCTATCCCTTATTTCTTCTCTGTATGTCCTACTGCCCTGAAGCAGACTCTACACTTCTATCATTTTCAGGACCCTGCAGGCTTCTGCATGAGTATAGTTTCTAAAGGAGAAAATTACAACTTAAAACCAAAAGCCAAGGAAGTGGAGAGATAAACAACTTTATTTTCTTCAGAAACAGTAATGTTATAAATTTGTTTATAGTAGTTTGTAAACTATTATCAGAAATAGTAATGTCTATAAACCACTTACTTTCAGAGTCAATTGGGAACTATGATGAGGGTGATAATAAAAGGAGAAATCTTACAAAAATTAACCTGGATGTTATGCTTGCTCTAAGATTAAGTCACTTAGGGAAACAAATTCAGATTATCCAATGGCTTAACCCTCCTTCCTTCCTTTTGTGATGGCTAGGTTATAAAGAGTAGTGTCTTCTGCCCTGAAGGTAGCAGTAGTATGGTGGGTGCCTACAGGTCAATGATAGGTTTAGAAGAGATTCAGGCTCTTAACTTCTACATGTGCTTCCCAGGAGCGTGGAAACTTTCTTTCTCAGCCCTGTGTGAGGACCACATTAGCTCAGAAAGTGTTCTCAGACCACTGGGTGCCCATTCTCAGTGTCAGGAACAGGAAGATCCTGGTTTCCTGGCAGAATTTATGGATTCTACAGCTTTCTCTCCATCAGACTTTAAGTCACAGTAAGACGGGACTCTGGAGTCACAGGCACAAGCAGAAGGAGAAGTCAGCATCCTTATGCTGACTCCTGTTCCTGGACATGGGTCTTCAGATCCAGTAGTTAGTAAGTCAGTTGCTAAGGCAGGAAACCAGTATCTCTAAGGAACACATACACGCTGACCTAAGGAACTGATATGACAGGTTTCCTACACACTCATAACACATCTCTTCCTTCCTGTGATGAGAGTACTACTTTTGTGTGTACTGTCTGATGACGACTGAGGGCAGAGTTCTTAGTGAAGCTTTTCTCACAGTGAGAACACCTGTAAGGTGTTTTACCAGTGTGGGTTTTCCGGTGGGCACAGAAGTGGGAGCTGTTGTTGAAGCTCTTCCCACACTCTGCACACTTGTATGGGCTCTCCCCAGGGTGGATGCGCCGGTGAGCACTGAACTGGGAACTGTTGTTGAATCTTTTTCCACAGACAATGCACTGGTAAGGCTTCTCCCCTGTATGGGTCCTGTGGTGGACAATGAGGCTGGAACTCTGGTTGAAGCTTTTCCCACACTGCCCACACTGGTAGGGCCTCTCCCCTGTGTGAGTTCGTAGGTGGGCAGTGAGGTTGGAGCGCTCACTAAAGCCTTTCCCGCACTCATTGCACTTGTGAGGCTTCTCGCCTGTGTGGATTCTCTGATGTCGAACAAGGTAAGAACTTCGGCTAAAGGTTTTCCCGCATTCAGGACACTGACATACTTTTTCCAGTTCGAGCGCTGGCTTGTGGGGAGAGTGCATACTCTGAAAGCAGTTTTTCCCACACAGGATATGTGTACAGACTTTGTCCCTGGCACAAAAACTCTCGTGACCCATCTTCCCCTGGGATGGGGGTTTCTCTTCACTCTCCCCTGTTGAGTTTCTACGTTGCCTTCTTGATGTAGGCTCACTCTCCATGTCTTTTTGTAGCTCAGAGTGCCAGAAAACTTCTCCTCTAGACTTTCTCAGTAAAGCCTTGTTCATTTCTATTTCTTCCGAATCATCCCATTTTAGATTTTCTTTTTTAATCTCATTCTTGATCTCAAAACCTGAAAGAAAAACCCACAGAAATACAATAGACTATAGAGAAGGAAAACAGTGTAATGCAAAGAGTTATAACTATAATATATAGAAGAAACCTCTAATTGAAATTCTTCATAAGATTAAGTCTCCTGCTAATAGCTTTTTATTTTCTAATTGTAATATTTTTGAGCT